CAATGACACCCATTTCCCTATGACACACCATTTTCTGCCTTCCTTGAATGAAGGCAGAGAATGGGTCTGGGTAGTGGAAACGAACAGTTTGTAATTCTCCTACTCTTTGCATTTGTTCAGAATAACGCTGCCTGTTTTATGTTATAAATGTTTCAAGCTCAAGAATCACATCTTAATTTGTTCTGATGGTCATCCTGTTCTCACGTGTACCCAAAAAATGTTGATAATTTTTTGTTGTATTTAAGAAACCCTTGAGTTTTTAAAAATACATTTTACCAAAACAACATATTATTTATCCATCTTTTTAAAAAACCCTCAATTTAAGAAGCAGGTAAAGTATAATATGTACATTTGATTTTGAATTTATCTCAAGCCACCAGTATCTATGCTGCTTCTTTCTCAACCCTTGCACAGCTGTCTTACTGGAACCCTCACATTGGCCCACATAAGGAGCTGTAGGCAAACTGTACTTTTTAAACATAGTCTTATTTACCTTTATCATTACAGACAGAAACCAGAGCAGAAACAACACTTATCACCCGGAAACTAATTCTTTCTCTAGGAATCAATGAGTTCCTAAATCCCTTGATGTGGTTTTTTCATTTCACGAAATGAGGATGATAATACCAAACTTGCTGGATTGTGGAAAGGATTAATTAGGTCACAACCATAATGATAAAGATAGTCTTGCAAGCTTTAAGTAAAGATATTGTTTCTAGAATTTTTCCATGCAGTGCAGAAAAAGAATAGAGTTCACAACTGTAAAATTAACTTTTCCATTAATTAATAAATAATTTGTGGGTGAAATTTGGAGATGCAAATGAAGTTAAACAAACCATGGTTTGAAACCTAGTTAATTTGTCTCCTCTGAATCCCTCCTTCCTCACTGCTCCCTAAACAACACCGCACAAAACACATCTCAACTCTTAATCATGGGGTTTAGGTTTATTTGTGAATTATTAGTTTATCTGTAACTAACCTTTGCTCTTGGCAGTCTCTCTGGGAAAATGACTTCAAATTCCTAAAAATCCTCAACTCCAGCTCCGATCTTGTACCCTCTCTTTGGTTCAATATTTTTTGCTGCCAACAGGGCAGCCCTACTCACATATACCGACTACCCCCAAACTGAACCATCTGAAATAAAATATTACCGAACACCAAACTCTCTTTCCTTCCCAAATTCTCTCTTGGAAGGTGGTGCTACTATACTCTCTCTCCCCTAGGGTCACAACCATGGATAATTTTCATCCAGTTGGTCAATATGTTCCTTTCCCAAGAGCTGGACGTTGAATCTATAATCAAATCCTATCACTTCATCTTCAACAATCGCTGTCTTCCTCTACTAGACAGTGAGTGTTCCTCAAGGTCAGGAATGATGCCTTATGATATTTGTATCTGCAGTTCCTAACGCTGTGCCTGGAAGATTTTAAACAGGTGGCTTAATTAATGTTTGCTGAATGAATTATTGAATAACCGCATATTCTTCACTCTTGTTCCCCTTAGTTGGTCCTTATTCTCACTGCTCAACTCCAATTCAGTTTGACAACTGAAACAGCATCAATCACTCTCTCCCACCACATGTTGTAGCCAGAATCAAGCCTTCTGTGGGCTTCTTGTAACACTTTATATTAAGGATCCAATTTATATTACTTTGTCATTATGTTCCTAACATTTTTGGACTGATTTATTCCCCTCCTCAAAAACTTCTAATTGCTTCTCAAATTAAATAAGAACTTCATATGAGTTTCAAAGGATGTAATTTAGTAGACATTCTCTTTTCTAGATGTTTCATCTCTTCCATTTGAATTCTCTGCTCTAGTCCATTACATTTTCCTGGTGACTCTTCTGCTCCCCCACCTGGGTCTTTCAGACATGCTAGTCCCAAAGCAGTACAACGCCCTTTCACTTTTCTGCTTCGACACCTGCCTTCAAAATGGCCTGATGTTTACTTCCTTTGGGAAGCATCTGCTAGAATCGCCATAACTAACAATTAACAAGCTAATCAATGCTCACATATGCCATAGTTGTTTCTACATGTGTTTATATTTAAGCTTTATCCATATTTTAAAGTGCTTACTGTGTATAATGTTCACACAGTGCAGGTCACTTGGCTCAGATGGTACACATGGACTTTGGCATCAGACAAATTGATCCAAGTTCCCACTTACTATACTAGCTCTGTAATAAATATTACCTAATCTCTGGAGATGTACATTTTCTCATCTGCAAAATGGGGGTGATGATAATTACCTCCTGGAATTGCAGAGAGGATTACATGCAAAGCAGTTGGCCCATGCCAGGAAATGGTGGATCTGATATTTGGCACTATTGTAATTACTACTAGATTAAGAATATAAGCTTAAGTTTTAGATTTAGAATTTGTTTTGCAAGGCAGAATTAGTCTCTGTCTTTCTAATAAGAGACCATAGAAAAAAGGGACTTATTTCTCCTGTAAACCAACTATCATATGCACGCTTAAAGTCTTGGTAAATGGGATCCTTCTCTCTTCTCACTTCTAAATATTACATTATATTAAAATTGTTCTCCTCTTTGAATTAAGTAAACTCCACTTTATTTCACCTTGAATGTTAATTTTTTTAAAAAGTGAAAAACGCCTTTTAATACTCTAAGAAGTGAACTTAAGTATGGTTATATATGTGATGTCCTTATCTCATTATACAAGCTGTTTCGTTGCCTTCTCATCAATAAAAATCAGGAAAGATGTTGTTCAATTTGAGAGGTAGCCATTGTACACAGCAGAAATTTACACAATCAATACATGGGCATGTTCCTATGATAAACACTGGTTGAATTCAGAAAGGAAAAGAATGACCTAGTGTATTTTACCTGTTATTAGAAAACATCCTTACATTATGTTGTCAGGGACCTGAGGGTGGAAAATATGTATTGTCTTTGGAAACATAACTAAAATGATGAAATTCACGAGACCCTACAGTACGAGAACATGCTATCAAAGAAATCACTTTCTGGGAAAGATAATAGCAGGGTATGGTGCTAGACCACAGATGTTTGGTTTAACAGTTCACAGTTGAAGATGATCGGTAGTCTCAGAAAATTATAAAATGCCTCTGCTGAGCCAGTTACTGGTAAGATTCCACCTACATATGCACTACTTAAATATCTTCCTACATATGCTAGCCTAAGTGACCTGCCAGTATAGAGTATCTGTGACACTGTATCTGGCCCTGCTTGCTTAAGATTGTGTGTAGGTGTTGAACACGGCACTTTAAACATAAATTTATGAGGTGCAAACTTTTAATGCAAAGATGACTCATAAGGTTTCAAAATGTGTAAATATGAAGCACAATCTAACTTGTACCAGTCACCGGTTCTCACCCACAGCAAAATTAGCCTGGGTTGGTTACCAAATGTTTGGATTGCCAGGAAATTCACAAAATTTGCCTCTCTTACTAAATTGATGAGAAAATTACTTGGGTTGATCATTTTAACATTTGTGTGACACGAACACCTTGAACCAATGTTATGTTCTTAATCTGCATTTTGCGACATTATGTTTTGATGGCAGCATTCAACCAATACTACTTCTCTGAGATTGTGAAGAAGCAAGTTATTTTAAGAAATTACAATGAAAAACTTAAATAGAAGGCAATTGTAAAGTAAAAAATTAAATAGAAAATTCTGTTACTTAGAAATGTAGGTCTCCAGGTAGCTTTTCTCTATCTATCTATCTATCTATCTATCTATCTATCTATCTATCTATCTATCTATCTATTTTTTTTTTCTGTTCCTACTTGGCTTTTTATTTTATTTTATTTTGTCAATATACAATGTGGTTGATTATTGTGGCCCATTACAGAAACCTCCCTCCTTCTTCCCTCTCCCCCCTCCCTCCCAACAATGTCCTTTCTGTTCGCTTGTCATATCAACTTCAAGGAAGTGTAATTGTTATGTCTTCTTCTCAGCACCCCCCCCCCGTTTTCTCAATTTATAATAATGTAGAACAATGCTCTGTGTAGCAAAATATTTTAAAACATCTTACTGAAAGTTTAATGACAGTAAGTAAACTGATTAAAGTATTTTAAATATAAAGAACAAAAATTAGGAGGCAATTTCTCACTATAATGTCTTACTTTGACTATGGTAATCAGTATACAATGTGTACAATATATCAAACCATCATGCTGTACACTTGAATATATATTTTTTATCTGTCAATTAAACGTTTTAAAATTTAAAAAATGGAGAAATGATGGTAACTAAGCACTTCATTGGTTGTTGAAATAAAAACAGTATTCATGTCATTTATTTTCAATGTTCCTTATTTGTTTTACCCATTTGCTACAAAAATGTTACAAAAATTTCCTTTAATTGAGGAACTGGTAGAAACTAGACCTTTAACATTATGGAGCAATACTTTAGAAGAAAATAACTTAGCTGTCAGAATAACTTTGGAAATTGTGACCAAATAGTCCCAGACACAGCCAGGTGACCTGAATTCAACAGGATATTGTTTTAATACTTAAGAATTGGGTGGCCCTAACAGATGGGAAGAATGTGAAAGAATAAAGGAGCTTAATTAATGAATTTTGTAAATGGAACCAGTCATTATTCACAGTTCCCTTAAAAGTAATTGTTAAAATTTGCTGAATTTATAAATAGAAAAAGATTTGTAAGTTGAACTTAAAACCTTAAGCACAAGTTTTTGGATTCTAACTTTAGTAAGCTGATCATGAACTTGAAAAACAAATTTCAGATTAGCCTTTTCTGCACAAAAAATAAAAACACCTTTGAGGTGATTTTTAAAAAAAATTTCATAGGTCAGTAGAAACAGAAGCCAAAGAAGTTTTAAAGATTTAACTGTTGCATATTCAGAAAGTAAGAAAAATCCTAGTCTCAGCATTTAACTTTTGGTCACTTCAATGCAAAATAAAAATCATTCTACAGGGTCACTAGGAAATAGTTAACAGCGTAATTTTTTAGATTAAATTGTATTAACAATAAAAATAAATGTCAGGACATTAGATCATTCTTTTATTAACTTTGGAAGCCCACTTTTGAGAATCTCATTTATGACAACATCCACAGATAATAACAAATAAAGCTTGGATTCCCTGAAACACCACCCATACACAGCTGGACCATAATAACGTGGTCATATCCTTCAAGGTGTTACAAACACAAAATGTTTGCTCAATTCTAAATCCAACTATTTTACTAATTGAATTCATTTCCTAAAAGAGACAGAATTCCTGGTTTCATTAGGTTAATATCTTGGCTGATTTTCTTTTGAAGACTCAATGCATTATATTAAGTGTAGTCACAAGCAGAATGTATATTGTGTCAGTAATACATAACTATTTGAGTAGCCAAGTGAGCAGACCACGGTAGGAAATTCCCTGTATACTTATTTAAGTGTTAAGCCTTAAATACTGTCAACTATAATTATAAAGGTACACTAAGTGCTAGTAGCCTCATAATCACCAAATCCTAAAGCTTTTATCCAAGTGGTTTTACTAAGACAGAGGAAAGAGCACTTTTCTCCCTACCTTTTGATAGATTCGGCAGAATTGTCAAATGAATTATTATCCTGGCAAGCAGATGTAACTGGCATCAGCTTCAAAATAAAACTGCAATAATTCATCCAAAAAAAAATAGGCCTTAAAGTGAAATGCATTACTACCACTATGGCTTTATATCACATCTCACCACTTAATGTTAACTACCTCAGTCCTGGCAGATCTCTTTTGAATCTCACTCACTAAACGTGCTTTATTTCACCTGCAGAGTGCCTACTACCACAAGGCCTACATGAACAGGATGCACTTACATGTCAGCTCCTTCTTCATCCCAAGTCTGTAACATGCTAAAGTTTGAATTTTACATGAGTGCTTACTTCCCATTCAACTAGGTTTTGAGTTCCCAAAGGGCAAGGATCATATCCTATATTTCTTCTGTGGTCTTCACTCTAGCACCCGACACAGTGAAACTCTTCATTAATCAATTTACAGAACTCATAAATTAAACTTTGTTGTAAGGCTGACGCTAGTTTACTACAGGTTAGCTCAATTTCATATAATTAGCCTGTAATACTGAGGCCAAATCACATTAACATTTTACAGTATTTGTAATATACAGTCACACCCTGCTTAACAATGGGGATACATTCTGAGAAATGCATCCTTAGGCAATTTCATTGTGAACATCATAGAATGTACTTACACAAACCTAAGTGATATAGCTTTCTGCACACCTAGACTGTAAGTTATACCCTAATTGCTTCTAGCCAGCATCGCCACAAACACATGAGTAATGTGTTGCACTACGATGTCCCTAGGCGATAGAAACTTTTCAGCTCCATCATTACTTTAGGAAACCACCATTGTATATGCGGTCGGTCATTGACCGAAACATCGTTATGTGGCACATGACTGTATTATAAATGTTAGATCCTAACATTCCTCCTTTTATTGATCCGTTAGTTGGTTAGAAATGGTGGAGTTTTATAAACTTCTCCTAAATGAGAATGATACAAACTGACCTCTCTGACAGACCAGAGTAAACTGACTACTCGTGTACCAAATATCTTTTTAGAAATGAAGGTAGCTGCCAATAACATTTAGTCATAACTTAAGACATAAGTTCCTGTCCGCTAGCACTGAAACCCAGCTCAAATAAGATAGGGGAGGCAGAGTAGACTAATAGGAGTATTACCCACTGTAGAAAATGCTTTGCAGAAAGTGCTATTAAACATAAATGTGTGAGGCACAGAAAATCTTTATTGCCACAGGAAGCAAGTGCACTCATCCCACCTCACCAACAGCTTTAAGGGTCACAAAAACACAGACATCACACAATAAAGTAAAACAGACTTGGGAAGAAATGGTCCCTTGGACTACATTAGCTGTAATACTGAGGTAACCAATTGACCTTGTTCAGTGAAAATACCTCTAACACAATGAAAACACCAACTAGTTATAACATCCAATTCATATATACAATTCAAATAAAAATATATATTATTTGCTTTAATGTATAGCAAGTTTAATACATTAGTGTTTACAAAATAAAAACTGTATTCTACTGAAATTTTTCTTGTGCTTTTCCCTTATCACTAAGCTTGAAGGACCAGAAAAGTATGATACTTAAGGGAACATTTATGGATTTAAAGATGCAATTTGTGGGTCCACAAAAGATGGATAAATATTAGTTGGAAGATTATTGATTGCATCTTTAAAAATTGTTGCTTATTAAAATCTACAGACTTCAACTGTAAGACAATTAAAAAAAATTTCTCAAAATAGATTAGAATACAGGAAACGTTTCATGAAACTACTGAGATACTAACCAGTGCTATGGCTAATATTAAAAACTGAACAGTCTATTTAAATCGTACTCATACTATATCTACACACAGTGAACAATACAACCACAATAGTCAACCTCAAGCTAGCAACAAAGTTGCAAAGTCCATAAGAAGCTTCTTCAGTGGGCAAAACACTATGGTATGACTAAAACATTTAGGAAGGGAAAAAGTCTTTTAATAGTATAAAAGTTGTTTACCGGTGTTTCTACTGTAAAGCTCTTCTACAAATCAAAATGAAAAAGCAATTATATATGTGACAGTGATCTGAGACTACAGTGCAGACATTTCATCTAACATTTGGATGACAAATTTTAGTGTAACAGATTATGACTTAATATTTTTTACACAGTAATGATTTAGAGCAGAACTGAAAACAAAAAAAAAAACACATATTCCATGTCAATACACACTTCTCGGCAATATCTGGGTTAGATAAATCTGTAGGAAGTTGGTAAAGCTGTCAAATATCTTCTCTTAAACCAACAAAAAAAAAAAAAGTATTTTGGCAGATGTTGTTTTTGTTTTTTTACCACTATGGATTCCCATGTGAAATTCTCATTAGCACACAAGTACATTTAAGTACACCCCCATATATATATATTCACACAGTCCGTTAATTAAATAGAGGGAATTAAAAACATGAATTCTGGTTGAAATGAATTTTTTTAAAAAGCTGTATTCAGAAATCTGAAAGGTGCAGAAAAATGAAATTGTAAAATAAATAATATAGGTGTCAACTAAACTTCCATAGGTATATTCCTGCAAATGTGGATGCAGTGATTGTCCACACTTGTGATGCAATGTTGGGTGGGAAGACATCCTAGTGAAAGCCATCCAGTCTCTCTGATTCCTGTATATGGAGAAGAATTTCTGAATATAAAACAATACCTATCTAATATAGCCTTTGTTAACAGTCACCATATCTTTATCTCATGTAAGGTTAACTCATTATACTTTAAATCTTCATCTATTTAACACATTCCAAAATACCAATGTTTAAATCAAGGCTTTTTTATACATCTGTCCACTTGTTTCAAGTTCTCTATCCAAGTTAATAGCTTCCTATCTTGTTACATCTTAAGTAGCTATTAATATCATCTAAGTCAACTAGGTAAGCGATATTTTCTGCATCTTTTTAATTTTCCTCCACTATTTATTGTGTAAATTATGCACTGATTAAACGACTGAAAATAACATATCAATGCTACACATTTCCTGTTGAACAATATTTTATCAGATATTAAATTCATAATATTTTCCTTAGTTTAAATTGAGTATTTGCTTCCCATTTTTCCATAATCATTGCAACCTTGCCAACAACTATGTTACTTAAGCTATCATTTTTATGACTGCAAAGATTCTAAATTCTGACATATAATATTTATGCTAAACACACTTAAAGTAGACAACAAAATTTCAAGTAAAATAAATTGTATCCACATCTATTGGACCATACAGGTCTCAACATCTAGATTTTACTTCTATAAAGTACACAAACACATTGTACATTCTTAAATAATGAATGCTTACAATATTAATTTGTAAGCCCTTCCACATAAAACAACTTACACAGGAATGTGAATGAATCAATATTTTTGTTACAGATTGCAACACTCAATTTTCTCTTTTGTGGCTGTTGTTTTGTCCTCCTGGTTTCTACAGACTACGTACCAGTCCTGATGCTTTGGCTATGAAATCTGTTTGAGCTGAATGAGGCAACATTGGTTATTAAGGCTTATTTCTACGATGGAGCATTATCCTTAAATTTGATGCCATTTCCAAGAACAGTGGGAGAATCACAGCTATCTTGAATCTTCTGGTTCTGTTTTGATGACTTTCTTTTCGAAGGTAAAAGCTGAGTGAGGGTAGTCTTTTAAAATCCCAAGGCTCTCTGCATAAAAATGGAAACACAAAGTGTGTTGGTATTTTAAATCAATGAACTACAAAAATCAAAGTTTTAAAACAAATCCCAAAACTATTCCTGCAGCCATATAATTCATATACATTACTTTGTTGAATCCTCACAACTACCCTATGAGGTAGAAATTATTTCTATTTTAAAGATGAAGCAACTGAGGGACATGGTAATTAAGTAACTCCAGGTTATTCAGTCAGGTAACAGTGCTGAGATCTGGACTCAGGTTTGCACTATATGGACACTGTATTATTTCTACTCAATTAAAAAAAGAAAAAGAAAAAAGGCTTTTTAGACATTCCTTCATTCTGTTCTACATAATACCTTAGCTCAATTATATCCCTATGGAATAGAGATACCAAGTGTGTTCCCATAGTGAGACACATATGATCGATGTAATCAGAGTATTTCTTTTACACAGAACCTTCAAAAGAATATAAATTGGTGAAAAGTGTTTTTCTTAAGAATTTTAAAGAATAGATCACTTTCTCAGGTGGAAAACATGAGATCAGGATGTGATCTTTTGAGGATAATTTCAATTTCTCAACCTCTCTTTGACATTATTAAAGCAGCTAGAATCAAATATGCAATAGCACATTAAAGTCACAGTACAGAATATTATTTAGGATTTTGGCCTTTTTAGCATCTGCTAGTAGAAGCATGAACTGAAACTGAAGGACATAAACTCTCTCGGTAAATAAATACATAATTCACTTTATCTACAGATGTAAAGTCAGGTTTAATTCTAATGCTTGTTGAACTACTTTTCCCAATGACTTACAATACAAATTTAGAGCCATTTATTTTATCTGGCCTCAGCTTCCTCATCTATGAAACCAGTGACTTTGATCAAGTGATTCCTAAAGATACTTTAACTGAAAGATTGAATGATACTAGATTCTTTCAAATGGTGTTGATCTCTAATACTTTAACTTTGTCTAACTCACTTTACTTGGGTAAAAACCTGTAAACATCTAACTATTTAATAAGGAACTGTTTATCCCTCTATTGAATTCAGTTTACTTCTGGAATATAAATATCATCCCCAAAATGCACCTGCATGAAAAGTTTAGATATTGGTACACAAGGTTTCCTTAGCATGAGAAATATGTAGTCCATCAACTTCCTGTTACATCACTGCCAGAAAAGGGCAACAACATAACTCAAACCAGCCATCTATTATTCAGTTTAAACTTCTGTATAAAAGTCACCATTCAAAATCAACTCAACCTTTATGAGTTTTCCCTCTCATTCTCTGGAATACTATGTTCTCAAAAAAACTAGCCAATATTATGGCAATGTATCATTTCTGAGGGGAGAAAAACTGATTAGTAACATTGTTAGTAATGACAAGGGGGATTTAGCCAGTGGGAATAGAATAGAATTTTTTTTAAGAAGGTGTCAATATTAGTAAACTTATTAATATAATTAATTCATCATATAAACAAACCACAAGGAAAAATTCATCACCATATATATGCTATAAAGGCATATGTATGTGTGTGTGTGTGTGTATATGTTTGTGTCCTTCATATATGAAGATACTTTAAAAGTTCATGGAAAGATCTGCATTATCTTTATTTATTTATTTTTTTAATCCTTTTTGAGACCGGCCGCACCGCGCTCAGCCAGTGAGCGCTGTGAGCGCACCGGTCATCCCTATATAGGATCCGAACCCACGGCAGGAGTGCTGCTGCGTTCCCAGCGCCGCACTCTCCCTAGTGCCCCACGGGCTCGGCCCAAATTTGACTAATTTTTAAAGATTCATATTAAATCACACATAGATGTCTTGTGAAGTAGAATGAAAGCTTTGTCCAATTTCACGGGAGCGCTGCTGCACTCCCAGCGCCGCACTCTCCGGACTGCGCCACGGGCTCGGCCCTGCATTATCTTTTTTTAAAAAATTTATTACTATTATTATTTTACGTTCTAAGATGTTGTTGCGGAGCAGTGTGTGTGGGGGTAGGGGGACAGGTGAGGGTGGGGGTCAGGGCTGGATGCAGAAGTTGGGGGGCATGGCTGAGGCCCTTGAACCCCCCACCCTCCCAGGGGAAATAGAATTTCAAGATGCTTTATTCAAGGGTAAACTCTGTAATCATATACCACATTCTCACCTGATGGCTGGGACTTTGCCTCACTGGAGTAAATTCTATTCACCTCCCCATCCACAAAATGATGGGGTTGTCTGTTCTGTAAATTAGGCATTCGGAGATTCAAAGGTCTTTCTCCTAATGAAGAGAAAACATACATATATATGAATAATATTAAAAACACACCATGATTTTTCTTAAAAATAAGTTTTCACAAATTGCCTTAACATTCAAACTCCTTAGGAAAAGAGTGAGAACAGTGAACAGGAACTGAAGAATTTAAATAATAATTGAAAAAAGCATTTAAAATAATAATTTAGGAGGAAAATGGAAAGTCATTTCATTCTTGTCCCAAGGTTTACACTTCTGCCAGGACATTTTTAAGAACTAAACATGAACTAAACAAAAGACAGAATTCCAGTGAGTATTCCAATTTTGGCATATAATACATCTCTTCTGTAAGGCATTTTCTTACTAGCCCAACCATTTTACTAAAGCATGTCACTAACCACATAATAAACACTAAAGAGACAGAGATGGCATCAAGCCAATTACAGATTATTTAAAAAAAACCCCAAAAAACCTACAGTAAAATCCATGGAAAAAAAAAAAAAGAATTAGCACAGATATGATTTAAAAATGCCTTGTACACCAAATCACATTCTCTGTTATATACTGAAGTCCATCACATTAGCAAACTGCGATCCCACACTGAATCATCCTGGTGTCACAAATTAGAGTCATAAAATCTTTCGTAACTTCCTTTGCTTCTTAACTGTTAAGGATGATTGGAGAAGTTAAACAAGACCTCAACTAAAAAGTTTCTGTAATATTTTAAAAAGGAAAAACTCTCTCTCCTCTAGTACTCTGATCTACTGACACGTATAATATTTTATTCCACGGTTAGAGAATGCTTGCTAAGATGGTATTCTTTGGGCTGGCTGGTTAGCTCACTTGGGAGAGCACGGTGCTGATAACACCACAGTCAATGATTTGGATCCCCATGCCAGCCAGCTGCCCAAAAGAAAAGAAAAAAAAAAAAGACAATATTAGAAATCTTATTTTTGGACAGTACTAACTACTGTCTAGAAAAGTATAACAGTCCTTGAAGTTGACACGACAAGCAAACAGAAAGGACATTGTTGGGTGGGAGGGGAGAGAGGGAGGAGGGGGGGGTTTCGGTAATGAGCCACAATAATCAACCACATTGTATATCGACAAAATAAAATTTAAAAAAAAAGAAAGAAAAGTATAACAGTAATACAGATGGTTCCTGACTTACAATTTTTTAACTTTATGATGGGTTTATTGGGATAGTAAATGCATTTCGACCTACAATAGTCTCGACTTAGGGTGGTTGTATCAGAATATAACCCCATCAATAAGTCGAGGTGTATCTGTATATAAAAAGAAGGTCTTACAAAATTATTGTTTTTCTTCAAATACTTATAACTATTTGAAACTAGAGGATATATTTATATACTTATATCCTGTACACCTGCCTCCACTAGAGTATAAGCTCCAAGCAAGGAGGAACTTGACCTGTTTGTTGACCGCTGCATCTTCGGTGCCTAGACTCTTGCCTGGCATGTAGGAAATACTAAACAAAATGTCTGTTGAATGAGTGAATAAATAGTAAGACTTGGGATTTTCTTTATGTGAGGGCACGAAAAAAATAAAATTATTTTTAGAATGACAAAAATACTTAGGAATCACACAGCTTTCTATACCTAAGACTTGGACTCTGTCATAATACTTGAGAAGCAGTTACCATATTCCCGTAAGAACCAAATGTTATAAATTCCCCAGACAAATCTGTTTTTGAGGTATAAAAAAATATTAAGTTTTGATCTTTTTAAAAAGAATAAACATCTCCCATGGAATCTTTCTATGGGAAATATGACCTGTACTATTTACATCTCTCATTCCTACCCACCCTTTACAAAGTTCATGTTAATCACATGTGCCAACTATTGCTTAGGAATAATAAAGTAAAAAATTTTACAATTAAAATTTGAAGGATGGATTCTTTCCTTTTTAGAAAAAGGGACAATTTAAAAGTTAATTTTGATAGAGAACCTACAAAATAATCAAGATTTAAAAATCAGCAGTTTTTTTTAGTTTCTCTTTGAAGGGCACATAGAAATGCATATGGTTCCAATGACATAAATTACTCAAAGGATGTACCTTGTCCGTCTGAGTTATCAGAAGTTAAGCCATTAGGGCTGTGCTCTTCTGAGCTTTGCCTGTAAAGTCCTGTAGACAGTCTTCTCTCGGTATGCTGCAGTCTCTCATAGCCAGCTTGGGTGCAAAGGAACTCCATCTGCTTTGCCATCACCTTTTCAGGCTGCTAGTAAGTAAAGCAAAAATAAAATCAGTAACTGAAACATTCTAGATTTTTTTAATGGTTTAAAGATGCCAATTTCAGACTACAGCAAATATATTTAGTATTCATTAAAATTAGTTCCCACTTCATGTGGTACACAAGTTCCATAAATATGCATAAATATCTATATCATCATGTTAAAACATAAAATGCTGGATTTTGTACAGAAGAAAAAAGTTTTCTTCTAAACCCTAGAAAAAGAATTCCATCTCATCTCAAAAGCAACTAACCTTAGCTTTGTTTTTCAAGGTACTAAGTCCTTAAAGGATTTTTTTAAAAACTTAAGAGCAACAGCAACATCTGCTATAAACTTCTAACACATAGGGTGAAATTTTAGCATCTCTTTTTTAGAATTTGGCACAATACAGACTCTGATATGATAACAGTATCTTTGGGCGAGAAAAGGTGTAAAATAGCTGTCTCGACGAATAAGACAAACACACCTCTCACTAAAATTAAACAATGCAAATTATGCAGAAAAACAGCACCAACAAGGACCTTCACATTCACCACGGAATAAAGCTGCAGTATTTCCCAACCAATCATGAAAAGACATGTTTTAAAATACACAATTAGTTAGCTAATATATAAATTGATCTCTGTATGTGTTTTCTGAGTTACTTCTGCATGCGGCTGCTCAAAATTACTTATAAGTGATATTCAAAGCAGTATATTTGTGATACTCTGCCAAGGAGGTAGTAGTCAAAATACACTGCTATGAATCACTACCATGCTATATGAGTAGTAAGAAAGCTGCCATACAAAATTGGTTACAAAAAGTCCTGATTCACAAAATTAAAAATCAACAGGTGGAACATATTAATGCATAGAATAAACGTTTACACTATTTTTCTGAATGCACATAAACCAGACCAAAAGTAACCATAACTTCATTTCATTTAAACTTGCTATTAATTGATAAAATTTAATAAGCATTTCTAAGAAGGAAAGTGTATTTTTCATCCTCTTAACATGAAAAAAAAACAAAACTTGGCAGTACTAAATATGACCAAAAGCAAGTCACTAGGAAGAAGCTCAATAGGAATAAAAACTTACAGTGCTTTCTAAAAGGTGTTTGCAGAAAGGATTCTTTAAAATGTTAATTTCAGTGTACATACACAGTTAATAACTTAATGGCAAAAGCACCTAAAGCCACATATTAATTTATCAGTTCTTCAATATACATAAATTTAAATGATTTAACAAAAATTGTAGTCTGACTGGTTAGCTCAGTTGATTACAGCACAGTGTTATAACACTAAGGTCATGGGTTCAGATCCCTGCACTGGCCAGCCACCAAAAAAAAAAAAAAAAATTACAAAGTTGACTATTAATATTTTATTGAGAACTAGTACTATTTTATCTCAGAGTTGTATTACACCCAGCCACAGTCAACATGGCTGTTTTCCTGTCATCAGATTATTTCTTTTAAGTTTTTTTGTTTCTTTTGCGTTTTTCTGTTGAGTTTGAGTCAGAGAATACATTGAGTATAGAATCTGTCTCACTTCATACAAAACTATAAAGAATAAGTAAGTGTAGCCATATCAGATTCTGTTCATAAACCAAATCAAACCAAGCTGTTACTGCTATCTTGTTGATAGAGCTGTGTCTCAGATGAAATTTTAAAAACAACTAGAAATAGGGCCGGCCCGGTGGCGCACTGGATAAGTGCGCCGCTTGGGAAGCGCGGTGGAGCTCCTGCCCGAGGGTTCGGATCCCACGTACAGACCGGTTCCCGCTCACTGGCTGAGCGAGGCGTGGGAGCAGCACCGGGGGTTGCAATCCCGTTGCCGGTCCCCGGTCCGGTACGGGGGCAACACTGAGGGTTGCGATCCGTTGCCGGACACGGAAAAAGATAAAAGACAAAAAAAAAAAAAAAACTAGAAATAAAATCAACCCTCAGATACTAAAACTGAAGCTAGTTGAAGCAGTCATTTAGTTTTTAACATACAGATATTATGAAATAATAACTGGTAGTTTCTGTTACCTGTGAGCTAAGAGCTGCAAGTTCTTCACTCTTGGCTCTAGCCTGCTGGAAGAGAGTTTGCACAGAATCCTGGAAATCTGGAAACCCATCCTGTGGGTCAAAGAATAAGTCCTTTATATTTAGAGTTTGTAAATAATAAAATAACCATATTACCCAAAACTCAGAAAATAATGCAAAGAAAATGACTTTAATCCTACTACCTGAATAGTCATGATTAAAATGTTAATGGACAATATTTCATTTCAGTTTTTTACGACACAAAATTCCTTCTTTTCTACAACTGTAAATTGGAAAAAATGAAAATTGACCTCATTGTTTTACATTGGGCTTTAAACTCAGTGCAAGTGACAGAATTAAAGCCAGCTCAGCTAATAAAAAACAGAGCTATAAGAGAAATGCCTGTATTTATTGTTTCAAAAAGGTGATAACTGTAGGAATTTATGGACTGAGCACAGGCTTTGAAGCCATGTCTATAGCTGTAAAATGAGGGAACCCCAGTGTTGTTTGTGGTGAGGATTAAATGAGATAATGTATGTAAAATATAGAACATGGGGCTGGTATATTGTAGCCTCCTGAAAAATAACTGCTTTTATTAATGTTGTTGCTCTAAGTCTTCTACTAGCTTACCTCATTGAACTTTGGAACTTAAGAGGAAAAGGTTAAATTTTAGGGATATTTACATAGTATAGACGTCTTACAGAATGAGCAGAATTTGGACATTTAACAATAAAACCAGCCAGAGAATACTGCATATGTTGGTGGGGAACTACCTTAGTGAAAACAACACTGGAAATCTAGAAACACGTGTTTATTCATTCAATGTAAAGGTCTTGTTCACCTAGCTGGTTCATACACTACACTTAACACGGGGATACAATGGCAGACAACATAGACATGCCTGCCGCCCTCCTGAAAAATACAGTCTGAGAGAGAAATGGACAGAGATCCAGAGCACAGGGGAGGGCGCTGTGGCAGAGAAGCCTTCCCAGAGGGCGTACGGTCTAGGCTGAGGCTTGAAGAAAGAGAGTTCTCTAGGAAAAGAGAGCTGCTTGTATAAAGGCCTAGAGGCAAAAGAACAGGATACACTCTAGAAGCCAGAAAGTACTTAATATAAGCTAAATCAGGGAATACATTGAGAAAGAGGGAGTGGTCAAAGAAGTTGGGAACTGAGGGCCAGATTCCGTGAGGCCTCGTAAACTATGTTAAAATTTTTAGATTTTATCTCGAACCGCAATGAGAAGCCATTAAGGGTCTCAGGGAAGAGACTGATCAAATCTGCATTTTAGAAAGCCCAATATGAATGAAAAAGGGAGAATGGGGGGGGGGGCAGTCAAGGATGGTGGTAGGGAGACTAGTTAGAGGGCTGTGGTGAAGATAGAATGGTGGCTTAGCCATGGACAGTGACAGATGCAACAGAGAAATAAATGAATTCCTGAGATTAGGCAATTTAGAGTCTGGTGGTGACATTCACTAGATTAAAGAACTCAGGACCAGGAGGTCTAGGGAGAGGCTAGAGAGTTGATCAATTCAGTTGGGGATATGTTGAGTCTTATCTGCTGGTGAGACCTCCATGTAGAGAAGCTAGGTAAGCAGGTGCGCTGAGTCTGGAACCTGGGACAAAATTGGAGGAGGGGAACCACAGATTGAAGAATCATTAGCAAACTGAGTGGAGGATGTTGAGCCAGAATCCCCAGGAGCCCCCAATATCTCAATAATGTTTTTAAAGAAGGTTGCAGAAGGAGAAAGGAGTGATTTAGTCTTTTTGTGTTAAGAACCAGCTGTGTGACTGCAGGCAAAAAAGTTAACTTCATTATTTTCAGTGCTCCCCATTTCTAAATGAGGATTACACCACCTCCTTTATCCACCCAGTGGAGATTTGTGGGTATTAAATGAAGTAATATAAACTGGTAAATCCTGGAAAAAGTATAGAAATATATGGTGTCACCAATGTCAAGATGATTCAACCACAAGAATATTGAAAAGCTGGAAGGGAGAACTTCAAACTCTACATGTGAAAAGTTTCATCATTAATAAAGAGAAATAAAAGCCTGTAATAAGTAATACATAACAATATCGGAATAATCAGTGATCTCTCTGCAACTGAGTACATTAATCATTATTTTCTCCTACAGTGTTGACAGTTCATCATGAATGTGAAAACTACAGCACTGAGTACCACTGAGCAGCATATGATATAAAGTAGGTTTAAGATACACAAAATATGACTTAGAAATAAAAGTGAGAACATTCTCAAGAAACTGGTCTCTTTCACATTATGTTTGGTACAGGATTTTTTTATGTCTCTTAAGCTTTTTTCCCAGGCACCAGCTGTACCCTGCTGTGAGCAATTTATCTCCATGGCATATTCCTGGCTGCTGCCATTAATCACAGTGTTCCCTTGCTGACGAGACTACGGATCCAAGCACTAAGAAAATGAAAGCTATAGGGTGGAATGCTGTTCATGACCTAATTACACTCATCCCATTGGTCTCCACCCCCATTCCTTCTCATCCTTTCCGCCAAACACTAGCAAGCTGCTTTAACGCCACTGCTTAGCTGTCTCTAAATGACTTGTTACAGCAGATGTTCTCAACCCCACATGTGCATTTTCCTTCTTTCTACTCACACTTTCTGTATGAATAGCAGATTGTAATGCTTCTGTTTTTCTGGTCCACAGGGGAAGAGTCTACATCAAATCAGACTAGCTTTCTTTTCAACAAGCTTAGTAACAGCGTAGGTGGGTATTCTGACCCTCCTGCCTCCCCACCTCCTCACTCTCCCACCCCTACACCCTGCTGGAACAGCTAGCAGATGTTTCCTCTAGGTCTTTCTTCTTCAAGCCCCAATTTCTGACTTCCTGGGCTCTATTAACAAACCTGATTTTTTCATCCAGTTATTTCTGACTGCTTAGCACCCCTGGACCCCACAGGGTCAAGAATGCAGTCACCTCCCATCTCTGCCCAGTCTCCAGTAATTTCAGAGAATGAAGAAAACTCACAGATGAGATATGAGCAGTCACAGTCCATTTAGTCAGCTGCCATCACCTGCCTGGAGGCTAGTAGCTTTACATGTCCTTCCTCCCTTCTAAGAGGTTACTTATAATACTGGAGGCAATGACAGAGTTTGTTCATGGAACTTGAAGTGTTCTTAATGAAAAAGAAAGGATACCAACTGAATCCACTTTTAACTAACATTTTTAAAAATTTAGGAGAAAACAAGAGAGTCAGGGACTTTGGCTCTTTGTTTCTCATCTACTTTAATGAGTTGTCAAAGCCAACTTAAATATGTTCTGTCATAAATAAGGTATAAGCAAATTATTTTGATGTTATTTTTATCGTTTTGTTATTTGTAAACACATCACATGTCTTTTTGTGTTCATTGTAAAAATTATCTTTTTAAGATGGAAAAAAAATCAGCAATTTGGCATGTATGCTTATTGGCTGATGTAAAGAATTTGGGAAAGGGCCGGCCCGGTGGCGCACTGGAGAGTGCGCCGCCGAGGGTTCGGGTCCCATGTGGAGACCGGTTCCCGCTCACTGGCTGAGCGCGGTGCGGGCGCAACACCGAGGGTTACGATCCCCGGTACGGGTGCGACACCGAGGGTTGCAATCCCGTTACCGGTCAGTAAAAAAGACAAAAAGGAAAAAAAAAAAAGAATTTGGGAAAAATAAAGATGAAATGAAAGAGAAAAAATTGTCTCCTTACTTTGGGCCTTGTAATTAGGAGTCCGTTACGCTTTACAAAGGGCTAAGATTAAGTTAATATTACTTTCTTTAAATAGAGAATAAGTTGAGAACCACAACAGAAATATTCACATGAAATAAGAGAAAAAGTATTTTCAAAGAATTCTAAAATCTTCATAGTTTTATTATGAGGTCCTTTGTGTCGTTCACATACTCTAGACAAACTGGCCTATTTATTGTTCTCTAAACTCATGCAGTATTTTCTTATCTCTGTGTCTTTGTCCATGCTAGTCTATCTGTATAATACCAACCTGACTCCACCCCACATCTCTACCTTCTGAAATCCTACCCTTCTTTTAAAACCCAGCCTAAATGATACCTCCCAAATAAATCCTCCCTTAATCTCTTCTCATGCCAGAAATTCTCCCTCTCTCCAGTAGTCACATAGAAGATAGACATAAACAAAGCACTAACACTTGATGAAAAGTCTTATACAAGTAGTATGGTAACCTTATGTAGCCAATACTAACTACCTCGGCATCAGCTTCCAGAACCAATTAAACAGTTCTGGTATCTCAAATTTGACTTAGAGTACACCACAACAGAATTTAGACAAGGATTTATACCAATACTATATATTCTGCAAAGGATTACACTATATACATGTGCAGGTATACACACACATTTTGAAGATATATTGATGACCTTCAATACACAAATGCTTTAAAAAAACTAAACAAAATTAAAAACAAACTAACAAAAAAAATGACCACTGTCCTAAATTCAAACCTAAAATCCCTATTTACTTCTTGGAAACAAAATAATTTGGTGTCTATAAAAGCAATTAAAGAAAGCTTGGGGCTGATTAGTCACTTGTGTTATTTAGGAAGGGTTACAGGGAAAGGAAACACTGAATATCTTAATTCCAAATCTAGAACTGTTCAAGTGGCTTTGTGAACTTTAATAAAACAATAAACCATATAGAATTATAATAGAAAAAAATGTAGTAATAAAAACAAAAAAAGTACTATAATTCAATTATCTCTAGTAGAATATATGTAAAGGAATAGAAGGGTCATATCTAATGCAATATTCTCGGCTTCTAATAAGAAACCATTTGCTTTAATTTCAGATCAGGGTCATATAGACGGTCACAAGGACTTATCAATAAAGCCTAACAGGAAATGACTGAAGCTCAAAAATCCAAGAGATTCATGATCACAGATTTCAATGTTTAACAGTGATCTCTGAAGCTAGAGGCAAAGTGGGGCTTCCATATGAGAGCAGCCTGAATCATGAGCACACTGAGGGCTAATAGTGAAAACAGACATTGACGAATTTCTAGCTAGCAGGTGACTACTTTTCCTGGCCAGTGGGTAGGTTCTGAACCGTCTTTCCTTTAAGTCCTCCAATGGCCCATGCCTCTGTAGTTTCTGTCTTCACCAGCCTTCCTTTCAGTGACAGCGAGTCACTAACAGCTAAATCCACAGGGATCCTATCTTACCTGTTATCTTGGGATGTAATAGGATAAAACCGTTTCACTAGTCAGACAATCTTTCAGTGTATTTAGATAATTTCAACAAACTTTCTGTTTGTTGGTATCTGAGTTATCTGTTTATGGGTATCTGAGCCCAACCTATCTTAAGTATTACTCCAGAGCCAACAGTGAGGTAAATTACAAATATAAGCACAATTTTTTTAATGTGTCCTTTTTTTGGGGACAAAATATTTCTCTTCTTTGAGAAACAGTGCTTTAGGATAAAGTTTTTAGAAGCCAAAGATGCTTATCCACAACCATTCATTATTTCACCCAACGGATTTTATTAAGTGCCTAGTAAGTACAAGGCACAGTTATAAAGACTGAGTATAAAGTAGTGGATATACAGATAAGAGCACTATTCTCATCTAATGGGGAAGACGAATAATAAATTAAAAACAAATATATAATGGTTTCAGACAGTAGTAAGGGCTATAAAAATAAACAAAACAAACCAGGAGAATAGGCCCGAGTGTGATTTTGGGGGTTAGGGTGCCCCTTTAGAAAGGGAGACAGGGAAGTCAGGGGAAACTCAGCTGTGACCTGAAGTCATCTAGAGAACTGCAACTCGAAGTAGAGGAAACACACAGTGAGTGCTGAGGCACGAATGAATTTGGCATGTTCCAGGAGAGAAAAGTTGGTCAGTGCAGCTGCAACACAGTAAGAATGGGGGAGTGTGGCATCAGATGAGGTGAGAGGTGCAAGCTGGAGTCAGATCATGTTGGCTCTTGGACACCTTACTAAAAGTTTAGATTTATTTTAGGTACAGTAGAAAGCCATTGAAAGATTTAACCAAGAAAAGGACTTATGTTTTTGCAAAACAACTCTGGTTTTTGTATGAATAAAGGATTACTGTCATACAAATAGATACTTAGCAAGTATAATTTGATGATGCAAATTTAGGGTAGTCAAGCATAGCTCATTTGCTTTAACTTGAGATTAAATAATGAGATGGCTGAGAGCACTAACCCTGATCCTCTGCCCAAGAGAAAAAGTAAGAATGGAAGGAGCCACCTGACTTCAAATTTCCACTCTCCTATAGACTAGACTTTAGAAAAAGTATTCAATCCAAATTAAGGAACAGTAGTTCTGAAAACACTCTATAGTTCTGAGAGCTCTAAGAAAAGTACTTTTTTCTTGCTCAACTCCTATTTTACCACTTGCAAGTCTAAAATCAGAAGAACAACCTCAACTATCATCCTCTAAAAGAGGCCTTAGTTACCGTAAAATCTCAGTAATTTTTACCTACTAAATTGTCATTTCCCTCAAATAGTTAATATAAAGAAACAAAGTTAGCTCCTCTGAATGTATTTGATAAGATGACTAATGATGTAAATAAGATTATAAAAAATAGTTTAATCAGTAAAGAGTTTTAAATCTGTAAGAAACATCAACTTGCAAATCCACCTTTGATAAACTGACTGGACATCAATCTAGTCATAGTTTCCTATTAAGAATTTCCTTGGTTAGCTAATTCAAATTACTACAGATATTTCAAAGTAACAAAATTCTATATTGTTTTTAAAATTCTATAATTCATTCTTCAATAGTTTTTGGGACTGTCCTTTTTTGTCTGAACTAGTAAGATTTTACTATATTTTTACTGATCTTAAAACAGAAGCAAACATTATTAGCACAGGAAAATATGTAACCATACCTCCACTTTAATTCTCTTTGGGGATAATTCATCTCTTTCTCCACATTTTGACCTAAGGGGAAGGGGAGAAAGAGAAAAACTTGAGAAGATAACAAATTTTATTCCAAAGGCATCTCAATCTACAACCTTCCACCAAAATATATAACCCTGAAACTCCAACACCAGAAACGACATATTCATATTGAGTATTAAAATAATGAAAAAGATTTTTTCGTCATTTCCAAATTAACATTAGGGGAATCTATAGACACAGCTACACATTTTAAAAGGCCACAATTAAAGAACTCTCCACACAGAAAGCACTCAATAAATATTTAATGATGATCAATCACATAATGAAAAAAAAAAGAAATCAAGGAAGATATCCCTTTATGGTTCAGTAGGCACAATTCAGGATAAAATGAATGCTTAAGGCTACATGAGATTAAAATCCATTTTTGTCTCTCTACCAAAACTACAGATGTATCTAATGTGGACCCAGCAATCTCTCCACAGGAAATCTATCCCAGAGGTACCTACACATATATGAAATGGCACTCCATCAATTGTTGCGACACACAATTATTTCATGTGCCACTATGAAATAGTACTGCCAATTAAACTATGCCATTTCATCAACTGTAAGTTATACCTCAGTATAAAAGATATTAAAATGTGAAAAAAGTACATCTCAGAATCAACAAAATACAATATGCATGACGTTATTTATTGTGGTACTATTTATAATGACAAAAGACTAGAAACAACTCAAATATCCATCAATAGGGGACTAGACCAAATGAACATACTATATCCACACAACTCAATACCATGCCACTGTAAAAAATAATGAGGAAGATGCATACAAGGGTACTTCAAAATGTTTGTGGAAAAACAGAATTAAAAGATGATATGAATCTTTCCATGAGTTTTTTGAAGTATGTACTAATATAGAAAAATCTCCAAGATATATTATGCAAAATATAAAACACTCTAGATGTGTATGCTACCTTTGGTTTTTTGAAAAAAAGGTGCAAATGAGAGTAGGTATTTGTACTTGCGTGTATGTACAAAAAGACAGAAAGATGAAAAAAAAACTATTAAAACTACCTATATCAGCAGGGAGGGGAAACGGGAGGAATCAGAGTATAACTTTTTATATAGTTTTGGCTCCTAAAATATATTTAACTTAAAAAAGAAACATAAATGTACATTCTAGAAGAAACAGCTAAAAAATTATTGAAGGCAGTTGCCTCTGGGGCATGGAACTGAGAAGTGGGAAGGGGATAGAGCATAGGAACTGCTGAGTTTCATTATAAGTTTTGTGTACTATATGACTTCTTAAATCACATACATGTATTACTTTAATTAAAGAAAATTATTGGAGTCAAGTACTCACAAAGAAAATGTTGTATAATACAGTGAAGAAAATGAAAAAAAAAAAAAACACTGCATCAGCTCAATTATCCAACTCCAAAAAAAAAAATCTTGTTAATAATACTAATGTTGCTGTATATTCTTACCTTGTTCACGTAGTCCATGTAATTTTACTTATTGTCAGTTTGTAAATACATAGGTACCAAGGTAGGGCAGAAAATGAAGCTATAATGCTTAGGGTTCAAGTGAAGATAAGATGAAAGATAACAATATGGTGTGTTTACATTAAGTTTTTGAAACCACCACTGCTTTTCAACAAACTCATGTTCCATATTCTACTTCCTAGTAATAAAAGTATATTCCAAATTTTCCTTAAATTCTGAGTCTTTTACATATTCAGCTAATCTCGTTGAATGGCAAACACCTTAGAAAAGCTACCATTTTGTTTCCTCAGAGTTCAACAAATTCATGTAGTTAGTGGGTGTACAAATAAGTCTGTAAATGCTGTCTAAATCCCATCACCACACTCAAAACCAAAGTGTGTATGAGAGAGAATAATGTCTAAAACCATTGCCAGAATAATGCTACAGCATTACGTCTTTCAAAAGAGAGAAAGACAAAGGGAATTAAAACAACAAAAATCACTTCAGCAATGTTTTGAAAAGTTACTGTACTGTTTAATCTTATTCACACTTCTACTTTTTCAGAAATGTTTCTATTCTATCAGTGGATGGTGTTTCCAACTTTTTTATCAAGCAATGCAAAAATAGCGCTAATTAGTTAAACACTTACTTGGTGGTTCTGTAAGTATATTTATAGGTGACTTCTCGAGAAACCTGCCTAGCCAGGGCAAAAAGTTCATCTCTTCTTGTCAGCAAGGCATTATCCTTCACACAGAGTTGAGCAGCTGCTTCATTAACAGTGAGCTGGATATCCAAAATAAAGTTTTAAAAATTATAAATATTTTATTTCACCAATATGTAAAATGTTTCACTTAAGAATATAAAATGTCATATTACTATATAATGAAATCATTATTCATAAAAATCAGGCAGTATTTATTACTAATTATTTCTAATGCCGAATTCCAGAAGAAAATCAACCCATCTACCATCTCAAAGAGCCCTAACTAATCAAAATTGTCATCTTGGTTTTATTTATTTATATGCTTTCTTTGTGTTTGCTCAGGCAGAAGAGTTTATGGACAACATGGAAAAAATAAATAAAAAGTAAATATTCTGCATCTCATTTTTCTTATGAAAAAAAGAAAAGATTTGATCATATGATGTGGTGATAATATTTCCCTAACTAAAAGTGAGTGTATGTGGCCTGACAGGTTTTTTTAGTGTGAACTGACACGAAAATTCTTAGGAAGTAATCAAAATTAAATGATTTTAGCTAAACATTTATCAAGTCACTTAGGACAAAATAGAGTTATCATAAATTAGAGCCATACTGGCAAATCAAGGTCTGGAGACTAATCTCTAAGATCTATCTAAACTTTCATTATCAATAATTGTTAAATATTGCCAGTACAGAGATAGTTGCTAGTTGAACAAACACCTAGTACTAAAATTTAAAATAGCAAATATTATCCTAAAACTTGTTATTATTTAATAAACTGGAAAATGTTTTTTCACATAATTCTGTCAACTTAAATAGATCTACAGAACAGCCAAGAGGGTATATCAGACTTCTTTAAAAAGCAAGAAACCTATTCTATCAAAGCATGACCAATGGCAAAAAGAAAATGGGATCTGATGGCAGACCTGAGAGGAGTCCTGCTCTATCACTTACCATCTGTGTGATTCTGGACATGCAAAAACTTCTCAGAGCCTCAGTTTTCTGAGAGGCAAAATGGGATAATATCATACCTCAACAGATTCTGACTAGAAAATAAATGAGAAGACACACCTGGCACAAAGTTGTTGGTGGTGTTAGTTCTTGTTTTCCTTTCATAAATCAGGTATTCACCCTTTCTTCCTACCCGGACATCCCACCTTTATTTATAATCATTTTTCTTATTTAAAATTTTTAAAAATACAGAGACAAAAGAAGAAAATAAATGCAGCACACTAACCTTCCACAGAATATTAACATTTTAATATACATTATTCCAATATTTCTGTGTACATATGAATATAAGTATATGCATATACAGACTGTAATCTCCTTTTTTCACTTATGTATACTGTATTTTTTATTTTTACCATATATTAAGACAGAGATTGGGCTTATTTACATCAGCATCTGTCACGGATTGCATGCTCAATAAATATCTGACTGATGAATGAATTTAAATATCCTTTACAATATCATTTTTACTACCTGTATATACAATATCCCATTGTAGAAAAGAGCAATACATTATTTAAACCAACTTCATTCTGGATATTAAACTACCTCCAGTTTTCCATGTATCACAAAGCTGCAAAGAACATTCTTAAATGTGCATCTTTACACACATACCCAATTATTTCTTTGGAATAAATTCCTACAAATAGACTTGTAAGGGCACAAAATATACTAGACTTTAAGAGGTTTATACAGTCCACCAAATTACCCTTCAAAAAAGTTGGTATAAATCATAATGCTACTAACAATTATATGAAGAGTCCATTTCCTAGACTCTTGACAAACACTGGTTTTTATCTTTTAAAAGCTTTACCAATTTGATTTATTTTAAATGCATTTGGTTATAATTTGCATTTCTTTGATGATGAAACTGAACCTTTTTCTTATGTTTTTGGTTTATTTTAAAATCTGCTTGTTCATGGTATTTGCCTGTTTCTTCTATTGCAATGTTTCATTTTCTTATGGGCTTTAGGAATTCCTTATGTATTAAGAACATTAACTCTTCATCACATCAGTGGGTTTTTTTTTTTTTAACAGCTTGTCATTAGCCTTGTCATAGTTTTGCTTGGGTGCCATGTACAGAAACAACCTTCCCACCCTAATAATACCTAAATGTTCTGCTATAATTTAGTCCAATAGTTTTAATTTTTATATTTTAAGTACTTAATCCATCTAGAATATGTTATGGTACATGGTGTGATACAGATATCTAACATCCTGTTCCCCAAATTTCCAACTGTAATTTATATTGGTTTGCTCTAAGACAATTAATTTGGCTACTGACAGCAAGGTAAGCCCAGGCCTCCTATTTTAAACCCATAACTGAATATGAAAACATAATTGAAGGAAGAATTCACTTTCGGCCTTTTCCCTCCTTCTAAGAATCTTCAATAACAGATCAATTTCTCCCCTAAGTGCTTTTAAAGGCACAATGTTACTAGAGCTAAAAGAGAAATATACTTTAATGATTTCCTAAATAAACTTTAATTTCAGAATAGCAGTAGCTACAAGTACCTTGAAGACCCTTCTCAAATTGCTTTTTGTGTGGCTATTTCTTTTTTGTACTCATAAATCTAAATTACTATGGAGAACATCTGACTGTCAGATCTTTTAATTGGCAACATTTCAGAGGTACCAGGTTATGCTCAAACCACAGAAAATAACTTTCAACGTAAACTGAAAACAATGTTCTAGTATCACTTCCATCATCCTACCAGAAACCAAAGAAAAGCATAACACACTCTTTGTCACTGAATTCAAGCTCCAACAGACCAAAAAAGTAGATTGAACTCTCAGGCCCTGAGGGAGCCTTTCTGGTAGAAAACTAAGGCAAGAGAAATAACTCTAGCTCACTCCCAAGTTGTAGAAGCTGATTCATAAAGCCTCTCCCTCAAAAACATGTGTTCTGTCAGTGTTATCTAGAATTCATGCCCCCAGTTGCTAACAATTAACAAATCAATAACTATTATGGTATACTTAAAAAAGAAAAATGACAGAAATAATGCAAAAGAGTAGTAACTCACCGCGGCATCATGTTAGCTTTATTAAAATCCCAATATTCTAATTTTCTTAAAAGTATAAAGCCATAAGATATTCTCCCTTTCTGGTTTACTTATTTCCTCCACTTCCTCTTTTCATGGCCAAAAATACAAAATTCCATTCATATCTTCATGTAAATGATTTCTTAAAGTTAACTTTCTATCACTTATAACTGGACTTGACAACTGGACTCACTATAGTTATCTTTATCCTCAAAAAGAATGGTTAACTGATTCTATGAAAAACTTCCTTTACAGTTAGTCAAAAGTATAACCTTTAACAATCAAATGATTGTAACTTTAAATATTGTTAGCATAAAAACACTAGGTGAGTGCTTTGTGACAGGAGGCTCAAACGGCAATCAGGACTTATATTTCCATCACTCAGGAGGGCTAGGTACCAACATTGGCTTCCTTCACAGAAAACAACAAAAAATGCTGAACAAAATGGGGGGCAGGATACATTATTTTAAACGCTCAATTAGCTGGTAAAAGAGTAAGAACTATTCAGGCCAAAATGAATGAAGGCAGTATTACAAGGAGTAAGGGAAGAACAGTCGCTAAATCGATCCTCATTGCCTCATGAGGCTGGGGAGTGTGGAAAGAGAACAAGAGTAAAAGCCCAGGGTCTACCAAAAGTGACGAGTCTAAGACCCCTCCTCCATGAAGCTGAAACCTCAAAGCACTACACGCCCAATGTAAGGCTGAATTGGAAATACACCTGTACCCCATGGGTATGCAAGGAAAATTACCTGTCTTGTACCTTGATACTGAGTTGGGAGAGAAGAGAAGATACTCTTGTGATTTCATAATCCCAAGTCAGCCCTCACATAGACCTTCAACCCTAATCTATACTAAGTGGGCTGAGAATTTGTTTTATTTTCACATAGTCCCAGAGTTATTATGTCTCCAGATGCCTGGTAGAAAAAACAGCAAATATCCTCTAGGGGAATCCACTTTCTTCCCAGACCTCTAAACATTCCCATGGTTAAAGTTCCAAGAAACATGAGTTCATAGACAGAAATCATAAAACATTCAAAGAAACAAGGCATCATAAGTTAAAACCAGCAGAAACAATAGGCAGCAGAATCAGACCCTCAAAGACTTCATTTAAAGAAACAAAGGGAGTTGAAAATATGACTACAGAGCAATACAGTAAAAATTACCAAGAAAAATTGAGAATCAGAAGGAGAAGAGAAAGAAATTGGGAAACAAACAAGATTTTAAAAACAGACAGTAAATAACAGAAAAACATTTCACTTCTAAACATAACAATAAAAGCCAAAAGCCAATGAAATGACATCTTTAATTACTAAGGGAAAACCACTAATAATGTAGAATTAATACTCCAAATAAATAGTAATTAAAAATGGGAGCAAAATAAAGATACTTTCCAGTGGGGTGAGGAAGGACAGAGAGACTGTCACCAAATAGGCCTTCAATAAGAAAATTCTAAATGATGCACTTCAGGCAGAAAGACACTAATCCCGGATGATAAACCTGAGATACAAAGGAGGGTGGGGGGGCAGGCAGCAGAATACAAATAAAATAATGGAAATAAATCCAAAATATTAGTCATGATAAATGTAAATGCACCAAATGTTCTAGTTAAAAGAAAAGAATGTCAGACTGGATTCTTTAAAATCTAACTATTGGTATTTACAAGAGACATATATAAAACATGGATTCATAAAGGCTGAAAGTAAAAGGATGAAAAAATGATGTATCCCAATTACTAAGAAAAATAAAGCTTATGTATTTATATTAATATCAAACACAATAGAGGTTTTTAAGGCAAAATGCATAAAGATTACTAAGATTACTGCACAATACAAAGATAAACAGATAACTCCAGAATCATAGTACAAGATTTAAACACACAACTCTTATTTACTGATAGAGCATGCACACAAAAAAAACAGTAAGAATATAGAAGGTTTGAATAACAGGGTCAATAAACTTGTTAAAACAGACATATACAGAACACTCCACCAATTCTGTTTCCAAGCACGTAAAAAACATTGACTACATAC